TCATCATGAATAGACTCGAGCCTGAACAACGCTTGCAAATAGTGCAATTTTATTTCGAAAATAATGGTTGTGTGCGGAATACATATCGCGCACTACGTCCATTTGATCGTCTACAAAATCGTCCATCAGAGCAGTCAATTCGATTAACCATGGAACGTTTTCGCACCACTTTTACTCTTATCGATAACTCGCATCCCCGGAGACACCGTACGCTGCGTACAGAAGAGGCTATTGCTGCTGTAGAGCGTAGCATTGAGGAAGACCCGAATGAGTCCATCCGCCATCGAGCACAGGAATTGGATCTGTGTCCATCCACTTTATGGAAGATTGTGCGGAAGGATCTTGGTTTACGTGCTTAGAAAATCCAACTCGTGCAAGAATTGAAGCCAAATGATCATCAAGTAAGGCGTCGAATGGGCCGAAAACGAGATTGCCGTTGTTCCCGATTTTCATAAGCGAATTTTGTTTAGCGATGAAGCGCACTTCTGGTTGAATGGCTACGTCAACAAACAAAACTGCCGCATTTGGAACGAAGCTAATCCATCCAGAAAAACTGACTATTTGGTGCGCTTTATGGGCTGGTGGAATTACGGACCAATGGTACTTCTTCAAAAACGATAATGGCCAGAATGTTACAGTCAATGGTGATCGGTATAGAGCTAAGATTAATAACTCTTTCATTCTTGAATTGGTTAACCATAATGTCAAGGAGATTTGGTTTCAACAAGACGGCGCCACATGCCACACAGCTCGTGCCACGATCGATTTATTGAAAGACACGTTTGGTGACCGCCTAATTTCACGTTTTGAACCTGTGAATTGGCCTCCAAAATCTTGTGTGCTAGACTACCTTCTGTGGGGCTATGTAAAGTCATTGGTCTATGCGGATAAACCACAAACGCTTAACCATTTGGAAGACGACATTCGCCGTGTTATTGCCGATATACGGCCACAAAATCGAAAATTGGACGTCCAGATTGGACTACATCCGCGCCAGCCGTGGCGGTCATATGCCAAAAATCATATTTAAAATGTAATGCCACAAGATTATCTTTCGGATAAATAAAATTCATGTCAATCGAATAATCCATCGTTGTTTTATTAATATTCTATACATCGAAAAAAAACACCCCTTATATACTTAATAAGCACCCCACATTTTCAACTTCAAAACTTCAAATGATTCCTAGTTATAGTTTTCCAGTAGTAGTTCCGTATTTTAAAGCATATATTAGCATCGAATTTTTATTTAAGCTCCTATTAATCCGAGTGGTTTGAACACCAATGAGAGTAATCGTTGCACTTCAATTGAATCTACGGTCTTATAGAAAACCGATAAAAACAAACGATTTATTTTTAATCCGCCTGCCGTGAAATGCCGTAGAGAGTTATTGCTCTTCGAAATATAAAACTTAAATCATGTTCATTCGATATTTTACGCTCGTAAACGTGTCGGTTTATCTGGAAATTTGCTCAAATTTAGTGCTCCGACGTATAACATGTAACAATGCGCGAGAATTTCTAATCGCAACGAATCAAATCTAGATCCCTTCCCGTTTATAGATATTACAAACATTCCAGCGAACTTTTACGTGTTAGAAAAAATACGCCTTACATTACCTGCGGTTTAGTATAGTGTAAAAATACTTTTACAGCAGCCGCAAGTTATATGGGATTATACTAAAACGAGTCGTTAGCAAAAAAAAGTGTCCTCATAATCGGCAACTTTGTTTTACTACGAGATTTTTACGATTTTGCAGCGACGACTCTAGTGATGATCGGTGTCATAAAATGTATACATTGTTCGAAACAAAAGTCGTATTTTTCTAACGGAGCGACGACACCCCGTAGTGATAAGGACAAAGAGCCCGCCATTATATCGTAATGCAAGGCTAACGAACCGAGACATATTAATTAAACCTTTTTTCACATTTTGTACCGAATCTGCTTAACAAAAATGAAAACATTCGAACTTTCCGCGTTTCTTTCAACTACATATTTGCAGGTTCTGAAGTAAACTAATCCAAAAATATGCAAAGTGACAAAATTACAACTAAAACTAAACGCACATTCTATTTGCGGTCATAATGAAAAAAACTGCAGGAAAAACATATGGCTCTGATGCATCGTCTTCTTTGGAAACCTTGGAGCGACTATGTGAGATCAACTGAAAACTCTGAACAAGCAGAGATCGACCCTTGGACTGTGGGATATTTAAGGAGCAGGTGACAAAGAGGGGTTTAATCCCCACTCCTGTGGAACCTGGTTCTAAACAGTCTATCACTACACTCTTCCTTATGCCGATGATTTTGTCATTCAAACCAGGAAAAATTCGACTAGAGTGCACGCTCTGCAAACGTTGTTTTGCTTTGTAGATCAATATCAGAAAGACAAATATGGTTATTTTCACAAGAAAAAGGACAGTAGACGACTAAGATATTCAAAACTATTACCTGTGATTGCTGATTATAGAGTGTGCGTAATTTCAGAATGGGCCAGCACGTGGCCATTGCCATTGCCACTGTGGTCGGCCGGTGCCGTGGCCTAGGCAACCAATGGATGTCTCCCAGGAGTGGCGTATTCCTATTTTGTGTTCTTATTTGTACGTGTCTATTTGTACGTGTCCCTCTTGGTTAATTTTTAATATTTTGTAGTTAATTATGCTAAAATCTCCTGGAAATTTGTACAAATGTGATTCCAAAAAAAGTTGGGGTAACGCTTTCTAATCATATCGCGCGCTGACATCGCTAACGTGGAGTCAGTAGGTTTGATGGAAAGTGACGCAGGGGAAGTCCGTCGAAATTAGAGCATGGAATTTCATAAACTATATTTTGGGATATCATCCGTTCATTTGTTGAACTCCGACTGGAATTCTGCAAACGTTTCGCCAAGATCTCAATTGGCATCTTCAATACTCGGGCTCCGAAAACACTTCGAATACTAGTGTGAACTAGATTCTGTATGCCGATTTCAACCAAACCAATGAACAACAAACCAAAACAGAAATGAACCCAGGAATTAGCAGGAAGATGATGTTTTTGTTATATAAGTTTTTGTTTGGTAGTAAAAAAAACAATTTTTAAAGAAAATGTCACAGGCTACCGTGGTAGTATTTACAAACCTTCTGGATTCCTCCTGCATCGCCAATCATCTTGTTAACTTGCAGATCTTAGCTAGGACTTGTTTGTATCTTGCTCTACACTTCCTCATATACTGCTTCGTGTGTGGCGTGTTGGTGAGAAGCGCGAATTTTATGAATCTTGGATTTTTCTTTCATGCCAGGCTTGATGATTATATTTGGCAACTGCTGAAGAGTTTATTTGTCCTCAATCGTTTACACTTCTTTAATCTTGTTGATATTTTTCTTTTTGTCTCTCCAATGTATTCTTTGCCTTATATGCATAAAATGCTGTACATTTCTGCTATCTCAAATGGAATGTTGTCTTTGATGAATCGAAAAAATTGAGAGATTTTTCGATAAGTGGTAAATCTTGTTATGTTAAATATGTGGCCAGTAATGTTTTGAATATAAGGAAGGACCACAGTGGCGAGTACGGGGTTACTTTCGGATTCATTTTTTTTAGGAGGTTTTGATGAAGTGCATTTTTGTAATGGAGCGCTCAATATTTTGTGAAATTTAGGATCATGGAAGACAATTTCCGTCTATACGAAAATGTTACACACGCCTGCATCAATTTTAATGTATTTAGAGCCCCCGGTTGCGCAAATTATAATAAGTGACTAAATATAAGTAGAGTTAAACTAACTAAAACCAACTGACATTTTCAAAATGTTTAATAGTTTTTTTTTATTTCTTTACGAAAATGACATGCGCATCGATTTTACAATGTTAGCGGTCCTTAAATTATCTAATTTTGAAAACTAAAGAAATTTGAAAAACGAAATAAATATCGCTTTTAATATTGTTGAGAGTCCTCTGTCGCTTAAGCTTAAACCTACCACCGATTCATTTACAGTTACTACTTTAAGCATGGAATGTTTGAATAGCTAGTTTCACCGCTGCTCGATAGATGACGCACAAGGCTAAATTATGAGAAAAAAATGGTATAAAGTTTCTACGAAAAATTGTAAAATAACGTTGATGGATATTAGTTTTTATTACCAGCGTCGGTTGTGAGTCAACTTGTGTAGCCCAAAATTTTCATGCCTTTTATTTTTAAATAAGAATTTTGAGGGAAATGAGTATTTTCAACCTAGTCGTGCAGTTGCTATTGATAGACAGTTTGTTGGCAGTTTGCAGATCGAAGCCAGACGACAAAATAAGTTAATACTTGGGTACTAATTTGTATCATTAAGTGAAAAGTTTTGAGAGATGCAATGAAAAAATATCAAATGATAATAACAGTGATCGGAAATTTTTATTAAGCTTCGAGACTGATATGAGAAGATTTTGTTTGTTTTCTGTTGTATTTTAAATTAAATAGAAAAAAATGGGTTACAACAGATCTTCCCGAAAAAAAGTTACAGTTTTTAATATAAATTAATCAAAATATTTCGTATCTGGACGCAACCTAGCTTGAAAATAAATTTTTAAACGACATATTAATTAAATTAGTGGAATATAACCTCAAGTATCACTACCAATTAAATAGTGTTTTTTTTTTAATATTTCAGTTTTATGAATACTTGTGCTATCTCGTGTTGCGAATACGTAACGTAAATCTTCGGAAATGATAAATACTCTATAATTGGTACTAATGGAGCGGAGCCAATGTGATTTCTTTTTATCAAATAACGCGCATAGCAAATCGTGTAATTTTTATTATTAATGGGAAATTAAATAAAGATGTTAAAAACAGTAGATGATTTTTTTGTTTTAGTTATTCTTACAAAAAACTTTTTCTGGTTCTGATAAATTTAATATGTAAATAACAAGATTAATAATACATAGTGGCAAGTATTGAGGAAACTTAAGGAAGGGTGGAGCTTCTAAATATTATAATATAAAAACAACAGTTTTAAACAATAGTCTACGTATATTTAATTTGTCGTAACATATTTTCTAAAGAAACTAATCAGTCAGGTACTTACTAATTACAGAATAACATTACTATTTTATTATACAAAATCTATTATCACAGTTTTAAAGCTAACTGGAAACGAATCGTTCATACACACAGTTCCGTAAAATTTAAAGAAAATCAAACAAGAAAAATTTGGAAGACAGTGACTTACAAAACTACAAGGCCCTCTATTTTTTCGATCGCAAGCGTTCATTCACCAAGGCCTCCACATGGACGCGTTATTCTCTTTAATAACATCACTCGACGGAGAATTCGGAGGCGTCAAATGTTGGTGATTCGACTGTTGAGTCTGGTAGTTCTGGGCGACGCAGTCCAACTCTCTCACGCAAGCTCCCAAATGCTGCAGCAACTTCCTGCCGGCCATCGGATCTACGATTTCCAACGGTCCCGTGATAAAATGGGTCACCTCTTGGGCGCACTGCGTAAATCCTGCACGAAACCTATCGGCATACGACTGTTCCTGCGGAAGGATCAACTGATGTTGACGTTTCAAATTGTGCAAGTGTCGCACGGTCAGTTCGAGAATATCCGCCTTTTCTAATTTCGACACGTTCTCCCCTTCGCTCTGCAAAGCCGTGACCATCAGCTCCTTCAGTTCGTCCAAGCAACGATTAATCCTAGCCCTGCGTTTGCGTTCTAGCATCGGCTTCATCACTTTACGGTACTGATAAGTACGCGATATCGGCTCCTCACCACAATCACTATTAACCAGATACGGTGTCGGTGCCATTTGCGTAAATAAATCTAACTGGTCTCACACTTGTTACGCTAACAGAAACTTAGAACAGAATGTAAAGCGTTAACGCGGACATTAAAGTTTATATGAATCTGACGTACGTTTAGAGTGGGGCTTCGAGAGCTTTTCAATGGACCGCGTCGTCTCACTCTAAGCACTTGCCGTCCTCTTTCAACTCGAGCCGCCGCAGGCGTACCCAGGATAGGGGTGTATATATTTTCCAGGGGGTCCTAGTCGTGTGACCGTGGGGGTAATTGTTCTCTTCAAAGAAACACGCCGGCCTGGGTCTATTTTAAGTAGTTTAGCTTTTTTTGTTTACCGGCCTGCGACGAAACGACAACCGGACTGGCAATAAACCGTACAAAGCAATAAAATAGAGAACGTTGCAATTAGTTTTTATTTTGAAGGGAGCCTTGAAAAGTTAGATACCCAAAACACAAATAGAGCAAAAAATCATGTGTAAAATTCCCTTGGTACATTATACATTTTTTGAAAAAACAAGAGCAATGGAAAATATTATCCAGGAATATTTATTTATATTAACAACATGGTAACTTAAACTAGTATATAATAACAATAAGAAAATAACAAAAGAAAATAACAAACTATTTAACAAAATTTGTCTTAATTAACTTTTATAGCTATTCAAAAGAACACCCAGGTTTTGTATTGATCTACATTAATTAATAACATTACATTTAAACGCATATTCTGAGCATGTCGAGTATTACTCAGTACAGCACAGAAAAGGTGACTCTCGATTATCTAGAAGGAGCGTGAAAATTAAAATGTGACTGGATATAAGGAGAATCAATGGCACAATTTATCACACGAAAGACAAAACATAAATCCAAAAATTTTCTACGGTCCCCGAAAGTAGCTAGTCCATGAGGCTTCTCACTACAATGACATCCATTTGTAAACCGTTATGGCCCACCCTATACCTAACGATACCTTAAAAACTTGTTCTGCACAGGGTTTGTGCATTTCATAAGGAGACCATGTTCTTGAGCCATACTGCAGGATGGATATATCATCTGTAAAGCATGACAAAAAATCTTATTACTTTCACTCTCTTCAACACACATTCTTCCATTCTATATGAATAATCAGAAAAATTTCTATGTCTTGAGAACAGACACAGAATTTAATTTTAATCCTACACAATCCAATTAGCGAGTTACTGTCCCTTTGTAGCACTTCATCAACAGATTGTATACAGCGGTAAATTTTTGAATCATTAGCAAAAAGCGAATAACCTGACTCCAAATGATGGCCTATATCGTTTACCAGTAGAGGAAACAATTTTAATTGATTGATTGATTAAAGACTATCGATTGTCATGTTTTTTTTTGAGTGCGTCTAATCACACTGAAAAAATTTCAATGATTTGAAACTTTTTTAAGGACTCGTTTATATCACAATTATCTTAATAATCTAGCCGATTTTATGTCAGGACTGTAAATTAAGTTAGTATGGCGCCAATTTGACCGTAACAAGATTAAATATTTTACTATGTTCATATGAAGTGCGAAGGAAAAAACAAGGAATGTCACATTATCTTTGTTTCGAGAAACCGTATATACCATACCGTACGTAAACTTATTTAATTCAAATATTTAAAGAAAATGGAAAAACTTATTCTTATTCTTAAAGGCAAAAAAAACGAAAAAACAGGGAATATGCCAAAGTCACCATTGTGGACCATTGGTTGCACAAACTTACAGAGAGGCTAAAAATCAATCACTGGTAATATTATAAGCTAGAAGAATGAAAAAAATGCTTTCTTGTCCCAATTACATACTAATACATTCTACTGGTGAGGTGTAATAGATCTGAGCACCAAGTTTACAAAACTTCATTGCGGCAGGTATCGTTAATATTTCAAGAAACAGTAGGATGAGCATAATAATAATTACTTTTAATTTTTACTTTTATTTAATAAACACAACGTTCAGCTTGCGAGTATGCCACACTGTCCCCAGATCGGATCAAGTCTGAACTTAAAAAAACGATTACAAGTACTAGCTGTCTAAAACGATTTAATTAAATAATTTTTGCAACTCAAACTCCCCTTCTGGTCATATATTTCTGACTGCTGAGGTTCTTTTGGACTTTACTGCATTTACTGATTTTGTGTCCAAGTACCATAAAAACTTGTTAGGAAACTGATAGCCTTAGATGTTCCCGAGTAGATTCTATTTGTATATTGTGCAAGAGGCATATTTTTTGGCATATAAAAAAATGTCCCATCCTTGGTCCCATATTTTTGTCGCATTTCAGGAAATGTTATTCTGATTGAAACGTAAAATATGCGCAAATATTTTACTTTTTTTCCAAAAAATTTGTAAAAAAATTAAATGAATAGGAACATTTCATTTGGTCCTTTATAAGCAACTGTTTGATGATACGTACAAGAAATGGATTAGCCTGTAAGCAATAGGTGAACATAATAATACACATCACACGTCACGTTAGGCAATGAAACATTTTTTGGTAGTCTAAAGCACTCGCTAGATAATCAATGGATTGTTGTGGAACATTTTGGTAATGTTCATACTTTCTGGCTGGGATTCGTAGAAACTTTAATTTTAAACGAACTTATGTAGTTGCATAAGTTTAAAAGATTCAGGACATAATTTCCTATGCCTGGAACTATGCCTTCTTTTCCACACGTTCCTGTAGCTTTTAAATTTTCCTGTAGTTATTCCATATCGCCTTTACTTACACCGTGAATTGACTGGAATGCTTTAAAACACACGTTAATTTCCCATCACGTATAACTCGAGGCCTTCTTCATTGAGCTGGTCATTAACTCATCGGTGTGTATATTAGGTTAGTTTTGGGATTTTAAAACTTTTGTAGACCTAAAAGCTCTAAATATACCGATATAACTGCGAAAGACAACATTACCACAAAGGATCAAGAGAAATTAGAAAGCCCAATTATTGACTATGAAATTGGAGATGAAACTGGTTTTCAAACTATAATAATGATAGACGAAATCACAAATGAAGATATCTCAGTGGAGGAAGGGAATGTTTTCTCAGATAATGGGAAATGGATTGAGCGACAGTCAAGATTTTAGATAAAATATTAACAAAAAGAAAAGACAAGAACGGGGGTCGAACATGCATCTAGATATTATTTGATAAGGATGGGAAATTACAAAAATAGCTTCACATGCGAAATTTTCGGGGAAGGGAAGTATCAAGTATCAAGTATCAAAAGAGCCAGAAAATTAAAAAAATAGATATGGAGTTAATAAATCAAGTTCTTTTGTGTCCCCAATTGAAGATGTTTTTTACTCTTTTACTCTATTATTTGTAACTTCTTATTAACCAAGGTTTTACCAAACATGGATCCCAACAACAAGTCTATTTTCCTTAACAGTGGCGGTTGTGGTTGACAGAATCGCAATTCCAGTTAGTCAAATGCTATTTTCAATTTTTTGAATGGAACTATCATTCACAAATATTTAGAGAAGGGTCACACGCAAATGGAAAGCGGTTGAATGCATTCCACAGTCGAAAGAAAAATTTTACGAAGGGTAATAAATGTACCGGCAACATACGTTAGTTCATTAAAACATGCAAGTACAAACACAAAACCTTATATTGTTGAATATTTCAGTCACAAATATTTGGAAAAATTTCCTGAAATCAATTTTATCAATTCAATTCGTCCTGGAAGTAAAGCTAGAGATCCAACTGTTTTTAATATTAGGTTTTTGTTGAGTCGAACTTGCTTCTTCAAAAGCCAAGAGGATAATTGGCGAACCTCTAACTAACTTTGTTAATTTCTAGTGGACACCCTGTATATTTTTATTTTTTTAAATTAGCTAAACAAGTCTAAACGACTTTTGTTAAATATTCTTTATGTTGAAAATCAATAGTTTTTCAAATAAGGCCGTTCAAAAATATACCACAATTCTAAGAAAAACAATCTTACTATAGTCGGTACGATTTGTGATGGCATAGTCGCCAAAAAATGCCAGGCAGAATAAAATAGATTGTTCATCTTGATTCCATTTGTACTTCAAAAGATGCTGTTGAGCCCAAATGTCAATTTGATCAATGCAAGACAGCCGTCACTAACGATCACGATTATATGACTTGGGAATACGAATGCTTGGCATTTGTTAATTTAACTAATATGGCCATTCTCTGAGATGGAATCGTGTATTTTCTATGAAATAGTAGATCAGATCAGTAGATTTAAGTAGGTGAATCTACATGAAAAAATTATGATAATTTATCAAAAACTCATTCAATAAAAATTAAAACAATATCAAAAAATTCGAAAAATTACAAAACAATATATCATACCGCATAAAATGTTATTTGCCAATTGTAAAAACAAGTAAACTATATTTAGTTTGTACTGAAGATGAAACATTTTTATCATCAGAGCCAAAATTGGAACTGCTACTACCAGAAAATGATCCTCCGTCTACATTAATAACAACACATTCTGTATATAGTTCAAAAAATGTTTGAAGTGGAGGTTATTGCCCAGAATCTCGGACGTTCTTGGTCCATGAATTTTTCCAATAGAGGAGGTGGTTTTCTAGAAATTAATTCTTTTCTGAAATTAGGCAGTACGCCGTAATAGTAAATGATGTCATCGCGTCTAGATTGAGTACGAGAAACAACAATTTTCATATTCGAAATGCAAAAATTGTAGCTCTCGATGTAGCCTATAATACTGCTCAAAAAAATATATTGTTTACGAATTTTGATTTACGTCTTGCAGATTTTCGTCCATATTTGAAGATAATTAGATTTTCCGCGTATGCTGGTTAAAGAATTTTTTCGATCGGGACAACAGTTTTGGAGAAAATTATTTTTTTCTGGAATCTAAAATAAGCAACAAAAAAATTTTGAACATTAAAAAAAAATACTTTCCGATATTCGAATGCGCTCAAGGTTTAAATATGAGTATGGACTTCTCTGCCGAATCTGAAGCCAGCATCTTCAAATTTACTGCACCTATTATGTTCTTTAATATTGCACCTAATATCGCGAACACCCTGTATAATACACATAATG